TCCTTGGCCTAAGAACTCTTGGAATGCCTAACTTTAAACACAGGCACAGGGCTGGGGATGTGGCTCAAGCGGTAGCGCGCTCACCTGGCATGCATGCAGCTCAGGTTCGATCCTCGGCACCACATACAAACAAAGATGTTGTGTCCACTGAAAACTAAAAAATAAATATTAAAAAATTCTCTCTCTCTCTCTCTTAAAAAAAAAAACACACAGGCACACATCAGCTATAAAAGGGTAAAGAAATGACAGCAACAAATAGTTTTTACCAGTGAATCCTGAAGATAGGCTGACATAGGCATTTCCATTGAAGCTTTCCCCTCTGTAGTGATTAAAGTAATTCCGCATAAGGGCTGTTCTCTTTTATCAGATCATACGGAAAAAAATATTGATTCCCAATATAACCTGGTACACTGTATTGAGTTATTAGAGGTGAGAATCCAGCTAATTATTTATATGACTCTTATGTGTTTGGAATAACATAGGATATATATATATATATATATATATATATATATATATATATAAATAATATATTTTTAAAGATTTTATCTTTTGTTCTGACACAGGATATTAGGGATGTCTTGAAGTGTATATCTCATTATGAACTAGAAAACTCAATCTCATTTTCTAAGAAGTTTGGATGGTAAAGCAGCTAAAATTTCAGAATATGGGGAGTAAAAAGTACAATTTTAGAGCCAGTAAGACTTTGAACAAGATTCTTATTGTGTTCAGTCCTCAGTTTCCTTAGCTGTGGAATAGAAACAATAATGTCTATTTTATAAAATTATTCAAAGTATTAAATGATGATCAGAATTTAACAGATTTGGCACATGAAGACAAAGATCATTATTTGTTTTGATATCTGGTATATCCTAAAARTTTCACCCATCACTGGCCTGAAGAATGACTGAATATTTGCTTTTCAACTTATGAATCATTTTACTAAATCAACCTCAAAATTCTTGCAGTTCATTCTTTTGCCTCTTACAGTACTTTACCTAACCACCAAAACACGAGGACAAGTCTCCAGTCCTACCCAGAAAATCCTCCTCAAGGTAAGTCTGCCTAATCTTCATAGAACCAAAAACTCTTSACCCATCTCTCTATAAATGATATCTGCTTCTGAAAGTATCCCTCTCATTCCCTCCTCTACCTTTGGCACTTTCTTATCCATTTCAATAGAAATGCTCTATCATTTTTCCTTTTYAATCCCACTTGACATGCTCATGTTGAAAGTAAATCCATGTATTTTGTTCCCACTAATCAGTGGGAGCTTCTGGATGCTATAAGGCAGCCATGAATGATCTCATCTGGGGATGATATGCAAGTGTCAGCCCCACAGACCATCCATTGCCTACAGACTTAAGATCAAGTTGGGTTCCATTTGGAGGCAGTTGTCTCAGGGAGTATTAATTACCTTCTTTCCAAGTGTTCAGGGATAGATTTTACATAGTCTACTGGGGAGGTATTCACATGCAAAATAACTAAAATTCTTTATTTTGCTTTAAATAGAAACTAYACTAAGAACAGAGCAGGGAGGAAGAGCAGGAGGAAAAGATTAACATTAAACAGAGACATGAGGTGGGAGGGAAAGGGAGAGAAAAGGGAAATTGCATGGAAATGGAAGGAGACCCTCA